AGTAATCTGAAGTAAAATAAACATACTGAACAGGTGAAAAGATAACATAAATATAGTTTTGTTCAATTCCACAAAAATATAAAAAGAGGTTAGCTACAGAAATCCGAGATGCTTTGACTATATATCTCCCAGTTTCATCCCAAGGAAGACCAGGCTCCCACTACATTTCTTTTACCATGAATAGCCAAAATTTACCTAGATTCAGCCCTTTAGTATCATGGTAACCAACTGGGATCCAACATCCCTCCGCTGACTCCATATTATATATCTACGTACAGTCCTACCATACCCAAACACTGTCTTCTGTAGAATAATGCTCAGGAATGATGACTTCATGGAACTATATGTGCACCTGGAACTGAAAATTAACATTCATGCACAAAAAAAACCAAGCAGACGGCAGCAAAAGCAGACCAGAAAATACTTTCATTTTTATTCTTCATTTGTATCATTACTCTGTACTACATATAAACATGTTCACATGAACATTCAGCCTCCTCTATGACAGTCAACAAGATTGCTGATTAGTAGTGCATACCAACAATACACTTTAGATGCGTGTGTTAGTTGCTTTCCTACCCAGGTATGAAAATTGCAAACTATCAGACTGACAGAAAAACCTGGATGGTATCCATCCACATCGCTCTAGCCATCAGCAGTCATGAAGGAAGAATCTATTAAAGACTACAGGATTGCACTGTCTATTCAAGTTAATAGTCCCAGAGCTTCTACTTCTGATATCCAAAAAGCTGCTCCACCACATCCCCTGCTGTTGGTGTCACTGTAAAATTTCAGGTAATGAGGTAAGGGGCACACTTGGGTTCTTTATATGCCAAGATGAGGAAAATTAATTTTAATGCTAAAAAGATGGGACTACTGTTACAGACGGCCACTACACGCTTCCAGCTGCTCTATGGTACTTGAATCTGGAAGGGAAATCCTGTTACAAACAAAGCAGAACATTTTCTGACATTGTATTAGTGCAAAAGGGGTATGGGGGAGTACGGGCTGTAGGATTAGGAGTGCTATAGCAAAAAGATTATTGGAAAAGTAAAATAGAAGTGAAAAGAAACTATTTCTCTACGATAGCTGCAACAAATACAACTTTCAGGAAAAGAAAATGTGAAAAATAATAATGCTTCTTGAGAAAAGTGAGGTAGAATTTGATCATTTTCATCATTGATTCAAACTGTAAAAGAATTTTCTATTCTAACTGTATATTTCCACTTCCTAATTCACAGTTGATTCAATTTGTTAACAAATACTAATGTTTAATCAATCATTTGTGTTTATTCACTGATTGATATGTGAGGACAGTGGAGCTCACTTAAAGAAAACTGGACATTAAAAATGAGAAGAAAATACTATGCTTGATCTTTTGTGAAATAGTTTTCTTTTGCTTTCTTCTGGCAGAAGGGAAAGAGAGATATTATGGATCTGTCTTCTTACTGGTTATTTGAAAATATTTTTCCTTGGTGATTTATCTTCTACTTTTATTTTTTCAAGAGAAAAAAAATCTGTATGTTTATTTTGAATGCAACATCTTTCTAAGAATCATTTCCAGGAGACTTACAGCTTGCACTTACTGACACACGTACCACATTGGTATTTTTACTGACAGCGTGGACAATTTTATTTCTAGTTTCTAAAATTCTTTTATGATTTTAGTGCATTTGAGAAAAGAATGATCAGAGGGACGCACATGCAGGATATCTTCACCCAGAAAACTGGAAGCACACATACTACGTTTACCATATAAAAGGTCAGAAGGATGAGAACCTGACTGGACAGAATATGTGTCACATCACATAAGACTTGGGAAAAGCCCAAAGCAGAATACACCAAGATAAATCTCAATCAAAAATCATCAGAGTAATTAGTACAGAAGAAGAAAAATTACCAATAGAAAATTTGGATAAACATTTCATTCTGAAATTTCAAAACCATGGATAAAATTCCATAAATGTGATCAAATTCCACTGATTCACCTGAGTTTATTTGTGAACAAGTCTTTTTTCTAATTAAAAAAATTTACTGGTGCTATTTTCTTTCTCGTCTTCTAGTAAGCAGTAGTTGGTAGTTCTTCAGCTCTGCAGAGACAAAAGTTCATTGGTGCTATAAAGCAGAATTACACTTTTATTTGCCAAATCTCTTTGCATTTCAGACTGTGCTATTGTTACTGTTTTCTCCTTATCTCATTTTACATGAGGAATATCAGGTTCTTCTGTGAATGATCACAATAGAATCATGGAATGAGATATACTTCAAAACCAACACATTTGGTATTTGGATATACCACTTGTCCTTCTTTAAATACGTGCGTGTATGCATGTGTGTGTTCATACACTTCTATTTTAATACCAGTATTCAGAAGTGATAGAAACAGAATCACCAATGTTGGAAAAAACCTCTAAATTATACAAAGTTATATGAAGGAAAGTGATATACAAGTATCAATTGTAGAGAAAGGGCAGACTGAATTCATGAGGAAAAAAAAGGACTTTGATCTCTGGCTGCTGTCTTCCAATATTCTCAGATTTAATTTCTGCTGTTCACTTTGGACGTTCTGTTGTTTTCAAGCAAAATCCATTTCATTATGTTAGCTTAATTTTATAGCCCAGCTCTCCTGCACACGATCAAAGAAAGTTACATTTTTCTAGACATGCTGGATCTCTATTCTGTTTGTCTCTCTGTTAAGCGTACTTGTACCACCATTTTATTTACAAGTACTGTGCCAAGACACAAGGAGGAAAATGACAGTAACTTAATAACATATCTTAACAGAAGGAAAACACTGACATTTTGGGGGTCATAGCACCTACTTTTAAATTAAAATATTTCCTTTATCGTCTTAGAGCTATTGTCTATACAAAAACTCATATGGATCTCCAGTCCAACTTGAGAAAAGTTCCTTTTTTTTTTTTTTTCCCAGAAGAAGGAAAGGTATAATGAACTGTACAATAAGCCATTTTTTTTAATGCACAGGATATGAGGAGAAAATGTTTTTCTGAAACTCCTCGGGCCTGTGTTCCCCTTCAAGGTTATGCAGGCAGACATGCCCAGTCCCCCATGGAATTTCTTGGGTGATTACGGTTCTCTACATGCAGGCCAGATGACATTTCTCTTCAGTATAAAGGCTTATACCTTAGATTATTATTACTTTTTTTCTGTTTCTTCTGAATAGCTGTTTTTTAATATGTGTGAGTGTTTATAACATTTATTCTAAGATTGAAACTGTTGTGCAGGAAGTACAAAGAGATTGTAAAATACTCATTACACTTCTATGTACCTACAGCGACCTAATAAAAAAATGTTTTCTGTTGGACAATTAGCTTGCATATAGAATCCATCACTTGTCCTTATCCATAGCAGGAACAATAAAAAATTATTCTGTCTCCAGAGACAGCGTATCTGAAGAACCATTCTCATGAAAACAGATCCAAACAAAAGGTTGGATACAATTAAATTCAAATGAATAGAAATAAGCAATACGCTCTTTGAGTCGTGCCAGACATTCTATGTGCCATTCATGTTATTTTACATAAAAAGCAAGCCTTCTTAATGTCTAACTAGAATCACCAAAAATTCTACCTGAGTAATCACTATTTATCACTATACGTACCACACACTGTCAATATATCAACTTCTTGAGGAGCAGTAACAAAAAATGTAAGAAATACAACTTTCTTGAAATTAAATACTTTTACAATGATTTTACAGCACTTCAAGAAAAAAACAGATTTACATTTGTGTATAATTTAAATGTATATATACATTAAAGGAAAAATATACAGAAATGTCCTTCCCAAGGGCTTGTTTGGATATATATCTATTATTGGCACTATAGATAAAGACATCATCAAACCAATTTTTATTACAAATTACCAAATAACTATATAACTATAATTCTAGCCTGTGAAGATTAGCCTTGTATTCAAGAATAAAAATACTCCAAGATCACATATATGATGTCAGGAGACATTGGTTCTCATATAATGATATGTTCAATGTGAAAAAGAATGTCAATGGAAAATTTGTAAATTGCATTAAAATTAGAAAACAACAAACAAATAAAAAACATAAAATTAAATGATTTTAAAGCATTTAAAAACTTTGTTTATATTATTAATTGAACTATAAAATCAATTCCATTAAACATTTATTTCACAAAACATTTAAATGTCTGAGATATAAAGGTTATTACTCATTTATAGCTTATTAGATGCTTCTCTTTCTTCCATAACACTGTTCATCTGACTTACACTTCATGCTCAAGTCATGCATATTGGAGCTGACTCTCAATTACACAAAGTCTTTCTCCAAAGATGACAGTCCAAATACAGTAGAGATAAAATACATCAAGGTTTAAAATAGGTCCGTTCAGCCCCACTGCCGCCTCATCATGAAATGATATAATTCACTGATGCTTCTGCCTAGCCTAACATATGTTCTATTCACAGCCTGAGTCACTCTTCATTTGTAATTATTTCCCTTTTTTTCCCCCCATCTTGTAATACTTTGCTTGGTTGAAGACAAATACTGAAAGGAAAAAAGAGTATTATCGTATGATGACCTGTTCCAGGGTGTTAAGTCCCTGTCAAGGTTTGATTTTAACATGGGGTATTGATGACAGTACATCAATTCAGGCATCATGTCCGGAATTAGACTATATTAATTATCACTTGAGTGCAGTATGCATGAAAGTGCTGTTTCATTGACTAAAAGGATTTGACTGAAAGAAAATCCATTTCTCATCTGGTTGCTTATGGATAAAGACATTTTTTCTCTTTGCTGTGGATTGTTCTTTATTAAATATGATATATATAAGATTGAATAGACTGTTTCATTCAAAAACAGATATGAATATTTTTAAACAAAGAATATTAAATTCATTGTTTTGTTGGCAACAACTTAACAATGTATCAAAGTTTACAGTTTAAACACTGCATAGCAAATTACAAAGAATATGTCTAAAAAGTATATATATATATATATACATAAATGAACCAAGAATTATTTTAAAACAAAAACAATTATAAAAAACTTAAATTGTATAATTTTGTCAAAGTGAAGAAAATGCTTGTTAATGTTTAGAAATGTTACTGGTCTTTCTTTTAATAAAAAAGTGAAGCTCAAGATCACTGAAAAAAATTGACAGTTACTTCAAGACTCAGAAAATGTCTATCTTATAGCCCTTAATATCTACAGACCATCCCATTAACAGTATAATTAAGAAAGATACACTCAAAATTTTCAGTCTTGCTTAATCACGGTACTTGAATGGAAACAGTTATCAGCTTTAACTAGTTTAACAGAATTACAAGTACTAAAAAACATAACCTGTCAGAGAAGTGAATGCGAAATTACGTTTTAGTAAGCCATGAATTTCTACAATGATAAGTTTCAATAAGGGGATAAGCAAGAAGGTAACACTGATCATCTGAGGCATCAAGAAAGGCATTATCCTGAAGGCATCACAAAAGGCATAATCAAATCCCAGAGATTTTTCTACCAACTAGCAGATAATACATTATATAGATATAGCAGATGATGTAGAAATCTTTTGCGTGTAAACCAGGTAAATTTTAGAGAAAATAATAAACTTCAAACAATGAAGCCTGTGGGATCAGCAGTCGATGATCCTCTCTCGTCAGTAGGGCTATTTACACTCATTTCCTTTGTATTGCCCTACTTCCCTCTCCTGATTGCAAAGGGGAGTAAGGTAATGCAAGATCTCCTTCCATGCATGATCTTCTCTCTGCTCCTTCCTTCAGGCTGTGACCAATTCTTCCCTTCCCACAGCTCTTTCCTCACACAGCCCACAGGTGTAATATCTCTCATCTCAAGCCGACTTTCTTTGCCTGAGGATTTCATTCCACATGTCCCTGGAGGACACCAAAATTGTGACTGAGTCCAAACTATGCTGAGCATGGTGATGTGTGATAGCAGCTATAGCAAAAATGATAGTATCATAGAACTCAAAAAAATTACCTGAAGTGAAAATTTAAATCTTGGTTTCTTCCAGAAGAAAGCAAAAAACAAAGCACGTAAATTTGTAGGGCAATGTTTTCTTAACTTTTGAATACTTTAAAGACAAAAATGTCAAGATTTCTTTCCTTTACAGAGGAGCCCAACATGACAAAGTAGCAGGTAAACACGACTACATTTTGCTTTCTCTGGCTCGTGCTCCTGGGTTAACAACCTGCAGAAGCAGAGGTGAAGTCAGCTAGTCTCCCATCTTCTCCACTCCTCTTTTGATTTGCATACATTTTGAATTCTTTGAGTTTAAAGTCTAATGCTTTAAAATTCGTACAACTTTTGCACACTAAAAGCCAACTGCTTGCTCCTTGTTTTTGAATGGTGCCTGTGGAAAAGTATGATGTGAATGAATGGCACCATTCATTGAAATCAAAGGAGAGCCAGAGAGTTTAGTGTAGAAAAATGAGAATGATTGACAACAGAACACTGGTTATGCACACATAGGTTATGCAAAATTCGGGAGGCTACAAAGCAATAATGAATGAAAAGGAACTGTGTGTGCTGAATGGGTGACTCACCACACCTACACCCTTCAGCGAGGCGCTTGCACATATCTTAGGAACAAGTCTCAGTAAAATATCATCATGCCAATGGTTAGACTCCATCAAAACCAAGGAAACCATAGAGATTATTTTAATACTTTAAAATGTTATTAAGGGCATTATTTTAAAATACTTTTCCTGATTAAATACCAACTGCAATCTGCTACCTCAGAAAAACTGCCAGTAGAGCTCCATGCTTATTTGGATGACTCAGTGATCAAATTAAATCACATTATCTTTGATCTTTTGGTTACGGTGATGTAATCAAGAAACTTTTGATCTGAGAGTAACATCTTTTAGCTTGCAGCTGTCTTCAGTGAATATTTGCTACATCCCCATCTTTCTATGTATAATATAGTCACGGTTTCCTGTTGGGAAGTAATACATTCTCCAATCTTTCACAAAGTAAAAGAAATGTGATATTCAACCAATAATTCTACAGAGGCTTAAGGAAGAAGATAATAAGCTTTAGGGTAGGAAACGAAAGTAAACACTCATCAAGACAGGCGGAGAGAAAACATCTGACTACTTCAAAATGTCTGAGCGTTGCACCATTATAATCAGACAAACACTGGGAAAAAGAGATCAGATAAAGTAAATCAGATCAGGAGTACACAAAACAGTTTACAAATTCTTGTGCCTGACTGGAAATGAATCTGAACCTAAAACCTAAACATACAAGAACTCTGGGAGCACATAATGATCATGCATTTGATCAGCTTAATATAAATTATATTAAATGTATTAATACTTTTAATAGTATTGCTATTAATAGAAACAAAAACCTGTGCACAGACATATAAAGGAAGTGAAAATCTGCAGCAAAAATCATAGTCCAGTGCTAACAGCTAGGAAGAAGTGGAGCTGAGACAACCCACATTATTATCATTTTTTTTCCTGACTTGTTCTCTTGATTCCAAAGATATTGCTGGTTACCCAGCAACATTTTGCACCATAGATGAACATCTGAAATCAATGAATCTGTAGCAATGTAGATGAATTCGTGGGAGAGTCAACACAAAAAAACTTAATTACCCCAATCAAAACAAAACTTGCTGGCAGGGATACAGGCCCTTCATGCGCAGTAAGATACACGTAGGTTGCTCTCAATAATGCCTGCTATTATTTCCATGGAAAATACAGTAGATACAAAGAGGGCAATAACACTGTTTGATAGAGCAAATTCTCAGCAACAAAATACTTATTTTTCGACATATTCACCACCATTAGCTGTGCATTTTCACCAGTGATGAACAAGAGCTTGTATGCCATGCTCAAAGCAATCTGCACCACCGGAGTTGACCTATTGTCTCCGTTGCCACTACTGAAAAGCATCACCCACAGCCTCATAGTGTTCACTTCCACTGTTTGGTCTCCAGAAACATTCAGCGAATATCATAGAATGTCAGGGGGTGCCATGTTTTCTACGTGGAGGAATTCAGTGATCCCATTCTGCTAAACTGCTCCTCTGCTGCCATCTGTCACACAGCAACAAAATGTAACAGGATATTGGTGGGAAGGTTCAACTCTGCTGTCATACCACCAACATCCACTTATGTTAAAATGACACATATTTAAAGTTGCCAGTTTGTCTGGAGGCTGTTTGAACTTTATGTCATTAATCAAGACAGTATTATCCATCCCAAAATGTTTCCACACTCTGCAGCAGGTTAATAACAACAATTTGCAGACACCTGTTTCTTTAATGTTCCTGACTTGAAGTGTATAGTTTAGCAAGATGAAACTTGAAGAACAATTAAATTATCTGAAACTGACTCAGTAAAGCATTACAAGACCATTCATTTCTTTGCTGGTTACTGATAAAGAGATGGTGATATTTCTTAAAACTGGAAGAACAATTGGTAGCACTGTGGGTATAAAAAAAAAAAGCATTTCTGGACCCGATATACTTAAATTTGTAGTGAACAGAGGACATCACAATAAGTATTGCAAATATGAATAAGTATGAAAGTTCTGTTATGAATTCTTCAAATAGCAAAGCATACTAAATCTGAAGTATTATGAAAAATTGGTTAAATGTTTGACGAACTAAAACAAAATATTTGGCACATTTAATATTTTTGTCCTGAAAGCGTCTGTAAGCTGGTACTGATTTTTCCTCAATTTGTTCTAACAGAACTGCATAATTTTATCCCACCAAATCAAATTTCATCAAATTTTCTTCAATAATAGCTCAAAATATTGTTCTCTTTGTATATATATAAATGAATTGATTACATAGCACCTTTTGAAAAGAAATATACAGTTTATATTAACTATAATAGAGTATATTAGGACAAAAAAATAAACTGCAAGAAAACCAGTACAGGTATGAATCTTTGTTGTTTTGAATCCAAGAAAATTCTCCAATGGTAAAGCAAACAAATGCCATAGTATCAGAAAAACAAGAATAGAAATAGGGCTATTATTAACAAACTTTCAGTATACCTTTCTATGGTTTGGAGGGACTTAGAAAACAGGGAAGTAACTGTTCTCACAGCAGTTCAGGTAAGAATGCTGCAGTGAGGCTGCAATGAGACATCAAACATTTTTACCTAAACTATTTCTATGATTTTTTGGGGGGAGGAAAAAAAAAGTAGATGCATTTCCAACATCTTACACAGTATCCAAATATATACACACTATTTTTTGTTACAGTAAGCATGCTTTATACTAATATATTAAAGCACTGACCAAATAAATGTATTGTTAACCATGTGAAGTCACTGCTATTCAGAATACCAGTGCGAAGGAGCTCTCTAGTTTTGCTGATAAACAGTATTTCTCAAGAAATGAATTTGTATTTGCATTCTTATTGCCTTCTTGGTGGCTCATCACTTCCTGTAATAACTTCTGATTCAAACGAAGTAGACAATTGTACTGTGAGCCAAATACTTATTGTAGAGACTAAGTTTCAGCACCTTACAATTGAGTCACTCCATCAAACTGTCAATTCTCATACTAAAATACTGGCTAAAGATCATAATCCTCCATGACAAGAAAATCAATTAATGATTCTGATTTGACCAGAAATCCTGGATTCCAACAGATTCTTCCACTTGCTAGAGAAAAATAGCACCATGCCCATAACTGAAGAGCAAGAAACTACTCAGTAAGTTATTCCTGTACTCTGGTCTTGACTGTCCCTCTGTTAACCACATTAAACACGCTGGGAGGCATTTATTTTTTTTATTTACTGATAATACTTATTTAAGGGAAAATATGGTAAATTTGTGCACAAATAACAGAATACAAAAGATAGCATGCAGTCATTTTCTCAAAGGTTATGTTGAAGCCTCGTTATAGGTCATTTTTTATCTGCCTCCATTGCATTCGGCAAGGTCTATCTCAAGTTGTTATTCAGAATACGTTCTTTATCAATCATGAGAAGCTTCAGTTTGCACTAGAGCTAAACATTAACCATTACATGAAGCTATTATTCTCTTCTAAGTAGAGCAATAGAAGTTTACTGAGGAAGACTTCTCAATTTTTTTTTCTTCTACTATCCAACTTTTTCACAGTTCATTACATTCAGTCTTGGGTAGGACTGTGCAACAAAAGGGTTTCGGTCCAATATTTTTAAATAGCATTGCCTTTATGCTTTGCATCTGAGCAATAAATATCAATTGTCAGCTCATACTGGAACAATGAGCATATTGCTTTAGGAAAAAGCTTCTCTTTTTCTTTCAAAAAATGAAGGCATGCCAGAATGAAAGGTTGGCAAGAATGCTCTGAGATTACACTAATTCATGTTAAATTTTGCTCATTATTAACTTTCTCTTTCTCAAAGTTCTGTAAAGGTTACTGGAAGACAAGAGTATCTATTAAAAATGTCAAAGATTCACTGTTAATTGGGCAGGGTATGGAACTCAAAGTGGCACTGCTGTGCAATTTTATCTATCAGTGTACAGTAGTTGACATTAATTTTAATTTTTAGATGCCTATACAACATTAATGCTACTTCCACATTTCATAATACTTTTAACTATAAATAGCAGTTAACCCTTCTGAGAGTGTTAACTTCTACTTAAGTGGCAGAAGTCATTCCTCAATGTGTCCTACCCTATCACTAGGAACTATAGTAAGTTCCACAACTTTCTTTCTTTTTATTTCTTCATGCATCCATTGAATGGTCGAGAAGAAATATCACACAAAAGAAGACCACCAGTATACCAATAATGCTACAGTGCTATGTAGCACCTATAGATATGTCAATTTCACCTAACAGTCAGTCAATGAATGAAATCAGATCAGAAATAGAGATTGTTTTGTGAAGGAGAATGAAGAGCATGACAGATAAGCAG